CAGTGTATTACTCACAGTTGCAAGGTATGGACTCCAATCAACAAATCCAATGTTATCTTTTGCAAGCCTGCCAAACAACTTTAAGCAGTCCTGGAAAAGTGATGATAAAATAATTACATTTCTAAAATTACTGGTAGAGGAGATAATTCATTCAAAACATCTCAGAAAAATTTTTGCCAAGCTGGCAAAAAGGTGCATGGCCACAAACTTACTTGTAGCTACAAGGGAGTCCATACACTAAACACGTACTACTGTACAATGTACATGTAGCTAGGACCTCTTTTGCCTAGTCCGTCATGTGTGAAGTAAAACAAAACTGCAAGAAAAAAAAAGTTTTGCGCGAAATCCTGGGGGCAAGAAGTGCACAAAAGGAGATGTACAGTGTGACAAAACTTTCCAAGGGTCTGTAACAAACGTCATTTCCAACAATGCTTATGAGGCATCATAGATCCCACACATATATAATTTATGCGGAGGATGCTGCTATTGCCATTGCTGTTATTGTTGAGTGGTGTTTTTGTTTTGATTTCTTTTCAATAAATACAGAACTGAAAATTCTTTGTATTAATCAAATTAAACCTTTTTCAGGGTGTCCAATTACAAGACTAGACAGTACAATTTGATTTTCAACTCACAATCTGACCCAGAAAGAAACTGCAAAGCCAATAAACATACAAGAAGTTTTGAAAGTCGTTTTTCACCATCTTCCCTGCAAGCGCTTGTGGACAAACTTAGCAGAAAAAGTAGACTACCTAACAGGACTGCAGCTACATGTACTGTACCAGGCAAATCAAGGCACCTGCTTCAGTCATTGTTTTTGTTTCTGTTGTTTATAGTCATCATAAACACCCTAAATATTGTACCTAGGAAGAGAATTTAACCATGCACATTGCCTAGGTCATTATTTTTTCATGTCCAGAGATTGCCACAGTCATAGTTTTTTATGGCTTCGGCCTTGCCTTATGTCAGAGACTAGTACTACTTGGCTATTGAGAGCAAGGTTCAACTTTATGTACATGAAATAGTAGGAACCTTCGTTAAAATTTCTGCTGACATGTACACGTAGCTCATGGCTCATACCTCTTCCCATCTTAAGCTGTTGGTACATGACTGCCAAATCCTAACAGCTCCTCAAACCATAACCTGGAGGAAAGCAATCACAAGTTCTTTAGTCTCAGTTCCAGTTCTTTAGTATCAGTCGCCTACGTCAAGAAATACAGTACATGTAAAGCCATCTGACTGAAAACTTTGTAATAACCCTGATTACCATTTACTATTATATAGATACTGTACACATTCATGAACATGTAGGTAGCTATCAAAACTACAACACTGGATGTAATGTACATTTAATTTTTAGACTTCTAGAGTTTTAACTGGTCTAACAGTCATTGGATATCAGCTATTATAACATGCGCAACAAACATGGTGAACAAAATTTGTCTTGTACATGTACATGTAGTCTACATGCAGTCATATTAATCACAGAATTTGAAATTACAACTCAAACTAACAATACCAATATTATTACTTTCATCAACAACAGTTCCAAGTTATACACAAACAAGCAAAAACTGGAAAATGAATAAAATTCAAGTTATACAACTCAGGGAATTCGTTCTCACAGGCGGGTAAAACTATTCGAATTGAACTTCTTTATAAGAAAACAAAGTCTTTACTCAGATTGTCAAACCAGGTGAGCAAAATCATCCTCACAGCCAATCAATTTGTGCAGTGCCCGGCCCTTAATGAAGCCCCTGATGACTGCATTTATAATCAATAAACAAATTACTACCTACCCCCTTTGTCCTGCTTTTCGAGCAAGAGTGTTGTTGGCAAAAACAGGGAAAAGTAAAACATTGCTTTACTAAATGTAATGTGATAAGGACACATTAACGGCCGCCACTCATCGAGCATCTCCTGGGTGGAGTCTTCCAAAAAATACCTGAAAATAAGACAGGCAGGTTCAATGTTGTTCTGATCCAGTACGTAAGAGGAGTTGAGGAACCCTCCAGCACTACCGTTTTACTCCGGTTTTGGTAATGTGAAGTGCACCTGGGAAAATAGTCCAGTTTCAAGTTAACCAAGGCTGTTGAATAACAAGACTAAAGATGTATCTGTACAGTTGTCTCCATCTGAAGTGAAATAATTTATTTGTAAATATGGGTGAGAGCATGAACTAAGGTCAACTCTGTGTGTTGTTTTATCTTACACTTCATCACTTTGGTGCAGGTATTTTGTGGATAATTCACCTCACTATGTCACTATGTCACAGTTTGTGCATTGAAAAGTTAAACCTAAATTTTTCAAGTTCATCGTTTGAAATTTGTGTCAATCCCATCCTTGCAGTATTTCTTTATTGTTTATTATTACATGTAGCTCTTTGGTGTTTTTCTATCTTTTAGCTAATAAACTATTACTTTCAATTGAAAGGTCATTTTGTACATGGCCAAAGAGACTAACACAGTACATACTGATGATGTTGTACATGACTCTTTTTATTCAGCAGTCTCAATTAACTCAAAACTGGACTATTGCCACTATACAGACATGCTCTCTACCTGAAATGGGATGCTGCCCTATTGTATCTAATCCCCTGCAATTCCTATGGTTGTCTTCAGCAGACACTGCACCCTTGTAAACCTCAATCAAACTCTTAGTGCTCAAACTCAGACTGGCTAGTAATTGATTTAATATTTGACGTATGGGTCAATTAAAGGGTAGTTTAAAAGATTCCCTGTTTCTTGAAACAGTTTTGCAGTTAACTAAATGTACAAGTTGATTAGACAGAGTTTGTGTGCATGTAAAATCATCCCATAGTGACATGGTACATGTACAACTGCTACATTTTGTATATAAGTACATTTATACAGTGTGCCATGCCATATAAAAAAATACAGCCAATCAGAATAGAGGAAAGCTGTTGTATACTCAATAGTAATACATCTAACTTTCCCAGCATGTGGCGAGTTAATTGTGTTAGCCACTGTATTTCCTATGGCATGGTATAAAAATAATAGTTACATGCAACATGTTCTTTGGTATGCCTGTACTACATATATGAAATATATATATATATCTGACATATCCCACTTGGCACTTGTATACAAACTCATCTAAAAATCTTGTGGGTAAACCAAGGAAATACGGGATATTCCATGGTAAACCCCTCAAAAACACTGCATAACTAGTATCTGTACATTTTGTACAACTTACCCTCTTGATACATGGACCACATGCTCACTGTCTCTTCAAGTTTTCTGGTAGATGATAGAAAATAATAAATGAAAAAGTTTGTTATTGTTCGTGTGTCATAAACATAACACTTAACACACTACAGACTACAGATCGTGAAGTTGTGAGACTGATAGACGCCATTCTTTGGCTGTATCAGCAGCAAGACTTTGGACTAATGTGCCTCTAAATACCAGAAAATCAGACTCTGTTAAGTCCTTAAAAACTCACTTATTTGAAATGATCTTCGCAGTGCAGCAACATTTGGACCATTTTAGGATTTAGCTTTTGTATCTATTTATATCTATATTTAATGGAAGTTTCTAATATTAACGTTATTCAACCATTCGCATTTCTCATAACTTAAAGTTTTTAATCTTTATCATATTATATATTTGTATTCATAGTATTGTTCATTTTTCATTAGGTTTGTAATTTTATTTTCAGAGGGCCACAAGTTTATTAGCCTTTAGCTATTAAGTGTTAACACTCCTTGAATAAAGTCTTTATTATTATTATTATCATTATTATTAATTATTATCATTAATATTATTGTTATTATTATTGTTGTTGTTGTTGTTTTTTTTTGGTTTTGATGAACCACACGATGTTTTTAAAGCTCATTATTTAATGAAAACAATACATGTTTTGGATGAGACATCATCCATCGTCAGTTGTACAGTGAAAAAATATAAAAAGAACACGCAATAAATAGCGTAACAAAGTGAAATATTAACAAGAATAATTAAGGATGAGGGCACAAACCAAAAAAAAGATAAAACTATTTAAGCTAAGAAAGGAGACCAATTAGTATGAAAGGGATAAATTAAGGTGTATGACCTGGGAATTCAAAGACCGTCCTGCTCCCAAAGGATGTGCATGGCTTCCTTGATTTTCAATTGAAAGCTTGTGGAAGCAGAGTCAAGAATTTTAAAACAACCTTCTGAACAAAGGGAGCGACAATTTTCAGAACTTCTCAGGTGTTTAAGGATGTGGGAATGTTTGTCAGAGGAGAGATGCTCACGGATGCGAGTGGCGAAGTGTCTGTTGGTTTCACCAACAGACTCTTCTTATTGTTACTATTATTATAGGGGCCTCCAGGCGAGTTGTTAACCAAGTACATGTAATGTTCACTTTTATTACAATCATAATAAAAATTTTAATATTTTTGCTTGAACTTTCACTTGGGTAATCAAGTATAAAATGTATAGTATTTAACATACTGTAGGCAAAGAATCAAATGTTGTTGGGTCATGGCCCAGGCCACACTTCATTGCCCACTAAACGTGTGGCATGATATTATGCATGTGGGCATCAAAATTTGTAAAAGTTGAGCTAAAATCTTTAACTTGTATTGGAAATCCACTCTATAAAAATTTCACACACAGGAAGTGTTGAAACAATTAAACAATTAGAGATTTATATCACGTGATAGCTGACAAGGGCACAAATTATCTTGAAATGCACAAGAAAAGCTCCAAAAGGTCTCAAAACTTACATGGGATGTTTCTTCAGTCCAGCCACTTCATATTTTGAATGAAATGTAACGTCCATCACCTCATAAAGAGGTCGTCATGGTAGAACAAGGTCATCTCTTGATATAAGTTCTCACTTCCTACGGGAATAGATAGGAAGTAGAGAAGTTACATGATGTACTTAATAAGACTAGGTACGTGAATGTACATGTATACCTTCACAGATGTTCTAGATTTATTGTCGCTTGGCTTTGAATTTATTATGAGTGAGAACCAACCAAGTCAGAGACACGATGTGAATCTCAGTAATCAATAGCATCATGCAACGCCTGTGAACATTCAGCTACAATATGTAGTGGCCAGTACAGCTAACACTTACACCATAACTCTGTGTCTGTTGCATGAAGTGAATACGAGTATTTCTCCTCCCTTCTGGATAGAATGCTATTGAAAATAGATGTACATGCACCTGTGGTTATCAAGGTTGTGGTCTAAGGAAAATTGCAAGGAACCCAAAGGTTCTTACCCATGAAATCCTGGGTGCCCAGCACTTAAGCTTATTTGAAAAAGGTAAGTTTTTCCAGTTGCCCAAAGGC